AGACGTTGTTTTCTTCTTTACTAGTACTGACAGTAATTTTCCATGACAAGATGTTCTCTTGGTTTTCAACAATTTTATTTAAAAAGGAGTCTAATGCTTGTAAGGACTTGCTATGTATGACTACAGCTGGAGAACCAACACCGGACACACTGAACTAATATTATTATTAATGTTGCTATTAATCAGCACAGCTAATCACAGAAGACCACCTTGGTGATGGTAGGTATTGTACAAAAAAAATTCAAAGAAAACAAGACTGTATCTCCGGAGAACTGTCTGTTTACCTAGACAACGTTAAAAAAAAGATTGGCTTTCCTTCTTATGATTTTCATTCTCAGTGACAGTGCTGTCTAGACTTTTAAGTATTCCTTGCTAACAACTACCCAGTTCTTCTGGGAATTGAGTGCTTTCAGTGTAAATAAGATAGATACTGTATGGTATTTCATGGAAGAGAAGCCTAGTGAACTTTGAAATGAGTTTAGGAGAGTGATCTTTCATGCATCTTCTCCCTGTCAAATTTCCTTTTCTAGAAGGAAGACCGGAATGCTACAGAATCCCAGTCATTCTTTCCTTCCCAGCATTTGAGACCAATTTCCCAGGCAGTCAACGTTCCTTTGTTTCAACTGATAAATCAGGACACAAACGATGCTGACTACTGATAGCTTAAAAGAAGGAAGACCAAAACCAATCAAACAAAATATGTAAATACCTTATTATTACATGTCATATTGTTCTGCAGCATGGTTTTCTAACAGGTTCTGCAGTCTGATATTAAAAGACAACTAAAATACGCTGCATATGTCACTACTTCTAATTTCAAACGCCATAGGTATTTTTCTACTTCTTAGCTCACCACTTCACACTATTGCAAACAATTTATTGCTAAATCTAACATCCTTCTGATGGGCTACATATTCAATTTAGACAGTCCACCTGATCTCACAACCCCTGAATGCACAACTGCGAGCTCTATTCTTGATCAGTATCCATCAGCATTGTGGTACTGTGCTCAGGCTAAATCAAGCTGCCCTAGCTTTTTAAGAATGCAGTAACAAGAATGTAGTTTATCTTATTATGTATATATTTTTCATCACAAAATGCAAAATAACTTCCCACTCATTCATTCTTCAGCCAGCTGAATCGTTCTAATTTATTTTCATTCTGAACAGCACACGCTGCATATAGTAAAGATTAAAGTGAAACTGAGGAGAAGATGTGGTAAAAAGAACCTGTCTTATTTCAAAGGATTTTTTTTTTTTTTAATCACGCATAGAAGGAATGCTACAGCCACTGAAAAGCTGCTACTGGGGTTGTCATTGTATTACTGCTTTTGCATTCTAAAGCAGACTGAAGTTCCCTTATAAAACAGCACAGACCAGTCATACAGCTATATTTAGTTGAATGATGATCCAGTTTTTACGATAAATATGAATAATGCATTGGAAACATTTGTAAATTGCCTAACAGCACAGATAATTTTTGTTTAATTTGTTTCTATACTATGCTGGTAAAGCATCGAAAGAGAGAAAATAAATTCTGGGTTTTCCGGCTTGATTAATTACTCACATTGATGATTTGGTAAGGAATATTATACTCAACTGTATATTTGCAGCTAACAATAAACATTAGCTTATAAGTCTAACAACTTCTTGTCCCTCCCCCATACAATACTCATGATAAACTCCTTTTAAGTCCTCATTTTTTATTCCTTTTTATTGAAAAATTAGAACACATATACTCCTTCCTTTTCAGCACAACCCATGAAAGGGTCCCCAGACTATTTCATATGCCCATGGACATAATCTTCCAAAGATTAAAAAGGAAGGGTGACTGGCTGAGCACACTTCTGTGTGCCTCTTCTCTGTGCCACAAGCTATAGAACAACAGTTTAACCACAGGCATGTTTTCCAAATATATTCTTTTAAAGTCACAATACTCTTTATATACAGGCCTACAGAAGTTTTAGTCTGATTTAAGGGTTCCTACCAACACCTTCTTTCCTATATATTGATTAACTGTACTCCACAAGAAGAAGAAGATGGAAAAAAAACCCCATCGTTGCGAACAAAATCCCTCTGAAATGAATTAGGATTTCATGTGTAGTTATCTTTACAAAAGGCCTATAATCCGCTTCAGTTAACAGTAGCTCATCTTACATCTTGGTTACATATCTGGGACTGAATGCTTCTGATCATATTTACAAGGCCAGGCAGTTTTACTCTGTTCCAACTTCAATCCCCACATGACGGTATATATGACTGATGTACAGATGCTAAGTGTAAGATAAAGCATTTTTCTGGGAAGTTGGATAATCACAGGCTAGAAATACTCAGAATATGAACAATGGCTGCTGTCAAGGTCAGGGCTGAGTTAGGTGAACCTGTGCTACCCACCACAGCTGGCAGGTACATGGATTTCCAAACTCCAGACCACAGCTTCGATATTCTGCCCCCACACCATAAGAAAGCTGAAGTTCAATCTGTCTCTCGACATGGTTGATTCGTTAGGCTCACTTGCTATTTTAAGGGACATTAATGGTTTTTTTGTTTTGTTTAAAATCTGTACGCTCTGCAAACACTGCTTGGTCTCAAACTCCAGTTTTGTGTTTTGGGTTGTGGGTATACCTCAGTTGCCAGACACTCAAAAATACACATTTCAAAAGCAAGAAATGAATACAAGTGGCAGCCTATTTTAAAATATTTTTTTAATTCTTTTTTCAATGACACAAAGTACAGCACTTACGTTCATGTGTAGGAGGACAAAAAAAAATCAGTATCAGCTGTACTTAAAGCTTGAGTAATACCAGTTTGGAGCATGCATCATCCTTTCAAATTTTGTAGTCTATTTTTATATTCACTGGAGAGGTCACTGACACAATGCACGTGACAAATTATTGCCTTATCTGCTGCACTATGTTATCTACCTAAAAAAACCCAAAAAACTTACTTTCCTTCATAAAACGGTGTTCTAAGCATAATTTGTTAATATAAGGTTGAGAAAGCTGCCCCCTCTAACTTTCAGAAACTATGTTATCTTACAATGAATTGATCAGGAGTTGAAAAAAACCCTACTGTTTACTGTTATATATATGGAGAACAGATACTTAGAAGGAAGATGAAAAAGGGTACTACATAATATTCTGTTACAGGCTAATACTATTTCCTCACAGTGTTCTGTTACAATTTCATGCAATTTTTTCCAAAGTGTCCATCTAAACAGTTAGACATACTATTTTTAAGCTCAAAGGCATAAGGACACTGTACAAATAAGGACACTATTGTTTATTTGGAATATTCTGTCCTTAAAGTAATATACCTTTGAGTATACTACTTCATAAACACTAGAAAAATGGCCATGATAAAGTTTAAACTTTTTTTTTGTTTTGAGTGACTCTACATGCAGAAAATGTTATCAAATTAGTAGAACAAAGCCTGTTTTGAGAGAGCGCCTTGTAACGTTCCAATTTTGTTTGGTGGATGGAAACACAAAAAGGAATGAAGATATACTGGAGCTAGCCTTGCCTGTCTTAAACCCAAGTGCTAACAGTAGTATACCACATTATAACATCATTCGCCCATGCTAATTAGTCCTGCAAAAAACATGGAGAAACAGGGATAATTAATCTCAGTGTATATCATACTAACATGGTTGTACAGTTTAAGGTTCTAATGTACAATGTTCTTTTTCTCTAGAGGCACATTGTTATTGTCTAAAGACCTATTAACCCCAAGTAACCCCATCATCTTGAACTGTCAGTCACCACTTCCATTCTGAGACTCCCGAAGGCACTTTCAGCCAAAGAACTGAATTTTAAATGGAAAAGGACAAACAGCACACACCAATTTGACCTTCTAACACACCATGCGGCAGAGTATCAACTTACTTCTCATCCCAAACATGATCACCTCTGTGGAAGATAACTAGGTTATTTTCAGGGTCCAGAGCCAACCCAGAAACTTGTCCTAGTTTGAGGTCTAACCCAGGCCACTCCATAGCCTCTTCTATGTGGAAATCTGACCAAAGAAAGAGACAAACAAAAAAGACAGACATTCACATAGCATATTTATAAATAAACATGGTTAACTGGCATTTGGTACAGACTGTTGGGAATTATATGGACATTTTCTTACATGCAGTATTTCCATTAATGCATTGCAATTTAATTCCAAGTATGGTTTTATTATAGTAAAGCATGCACAAGCACTGGCATCCTGCTACATATAGGCTGACAGAAAGTTAAACACTACTTTTGACACCATTCTTTTCTCCATCTTATAAGGATGCAGATACACAGACTCTAGAAGTTTTAGGAGCTCTCCAAATACTTTCTACATTGACAGATTACAGAAATATACAACTACTATCCGAAAGCAGCAGGCAAATTTAAACACGAACCTATCAGGGTTTTATTAAAATATGCATAACAAATACTATGAATCACTAAACCAACTATGTATCAGAAGTGGCTGATACATGCCTTTTTTTCAAAAAAGCTTTTAACAGTAAGAAAAAGAATACAGAGAAGGAAGAAAAGCAGCAACGAGAAGCAAATAAAACAGTACTGCTGTGAAGTTTGCCTATGACATTACTTACAATCAACATATGCATTAGTTCTTGATAGTGTTCATATCCTAATCTAAATATTATAGGCATGAATAGGGAATAGCTGTCTAAATCTGAAGAAAGAGATGAAGGGTAGAATATCTGTCACTATCTATGCTGTAACACACTGTTTTTAAGAATAAAAACTGAGTAGTTTTTGAATAACACAATCAAATTTTCATACTAAATCAACAGCACAGGATTTAGCAAGAGAATGACTACTAAAAAGCTGGATACTTCTTGTGTTTGTCTTAAGTTGTAAAACGCCCCAATTAAGGGAAAAGAATTTAGTTTCAACTTAAAGATTAAAATTAAAAATATAAACAAATGTTTATATCAATCTCTGTTTTATGTAAAAATAGACTGATTATGCCATGATGTAATCACGCCATGTTTAAAGGCATGAACAGTCCAAAATTTGAAAAAGTTGCAGAGCATTGGCTGCAAGAATTAATTTCTCACAAACAGACTGCTTAAATGCTGTTTGGTAGAGGTTGGTCTGGGTTGCTCTGGCAGTAATAAGAGACAGTTGAACAATATTCCCCAAAATAAAAAAGGCAATGGCAAGACAAATGTCACTAATTCTGAAAAAAAGAAAAGAAAAAAAAAAAAAACCAAATCCCAAAACATCTTCTACATGCTAGGAAATCTATCACTGCTTCCTTTCAGAAATTAATTTGTTCAGCATAATTCCAGTTATTTCTAACATGAAGACTTTGCATCTAGGTATGTATAGCCAAACCGAATATGAATAGAAAGCAATTTATTTGCAGTTATACGAAAATGGAGCTGTTTCACTATTATTCAATCTGTTTGATAGCATCATGCTGTACTTCACAACTTTCAGTTCACACAAAGTTCGTGTTTTGCTGTGATCCTAAAAACCAGTCACTGGAATTATTTAGCCAGGCGAAACACATATCCCCATTCACAAAGTGCCAGGGCATCAGTGCTTTTAAAAAAGGCAGTTCACTGACCTTAACACACAGCACCCAAAGAGTTTGAGAGGGTTCAGCTGGAAGTGATCTCCCAGTGAAAGGAAAATTAAAAGGGAAACAGTGCCAAAAATCTTCAGGTCACCAGTGCATCCCAGCTGTTCTGATAAGCATATCCTCCCCTCCCCCCTCCATTTCACTTGGAAGAGATGTAGTCTGAGGAGTAACAGCAAGGATGGGGTGAAGGTAAAACCATTTTCTACAATCTACACAGGGAAAAGAGAAAACCACTGCTGAAAACCTACCACAGGCTAGGAGATAGTTTACTTTTGTAGTTTTAGATATCACATAGCTAGAGTAGGTGACAGAGAAACTCTTTAGGCTAACACAAACCTAAGACAATCAGTAAGTAACTGCAATGAATCCAAAACGGTAAGCAGAAACTTCTAAAACAAGAAATTCTAGTCTGTAGCTGAACAAAAGTTCCAAGCCAAAATAAAAGCATTTAAGAAAAAAATATACGTGTTCATACTTCTGTACAGTTCAGCTGGTCACGGCAGGTGCAGTACCAGGTATATTCATGGACACTAGAGCATTTTGAAAAGAATGAAAGGAGAGAAATCCAGTGTCTGCTTCCTCACTTGCTCACCCCATATCAGTCTAAGTTAACTTGCAGAAAACTTGTGTATGTTTAATGTTACAGTGCCCCTCAGCCTCTGAGCCTTTTCCAAAAGAGACAGAAAAAATTAAAGGCTAAACATAGAAATCCTAAATTTTGGCCTCTGTAATATTCTGTCTCTCAAAAGGCATGTACTATAAAATACAAACTATTTATACTTACACTTAAAGGACTAAAAGATTTCTGGCAAATCAAAACAATATAATGAATGTACAGTAAAATATGGTCTAATCACAAGAACTCCAGCCTCTATGCAACTTTTAGATTTTCTCAAACTTTTCCAAAATTGTTCTATTATTGTTATCTTTTCTTTTCCCTTTGAGAGGCTCACACTGAAAGTCCTTTGATACAGGTTTATCTTAAGGCAACTTGCTTTTTACTAAAACTTACTTACTAAATTTAGACTTGTTTTATCTAAGACTGATTATTAATTCCCTACAAAACTTCAGTGGTCCATGGAACAGTCACATATGAAGCCAAAGAAAATTACTTTTCGCCATTAAAATAATTTACAATTACTTCTTTAAAAAATATAATCACTGGCTTTGTTGTAAATGAGATTTCTAAACTAAGTATCAGATCTTCTACCTTGTAATTCAGAGTAATTCCTTTCATCAATAAAACCATACAGAATCACACAGATTCAGAATATGCACATCAGCCTCTAATCTCTCTACAAGTGAAAGAATGAAGCCTTATTTATTGGCAAAATTGCAATTTACTGTCCAAAAACCCCTGGAAGCTCTTTCTAGATTTTCACATTACAAATTTTAGTCATGTTGCGTTTACTCCCTGACATCAGAGTAGTCATTTAAATCCTGACAAATATAAGTAAGCACTGCACAAAAGAGTTTTAAAAATTGGAAAACTACACTGTTTGCCTTAATTAGAAGGTATAATTGTAGTGGTTCCAGTGATGCTGAACAACCAGACTGTTTAGTGACCTTGGGGTAGTAACAACAGTGCAGGAAGAGCAGTAGTTTAAGTTACAAACATAACATTTGTAACAACCTTACTTAAAATGTTGGTCACTTGCTATTTTCAGTGTGGTTACATGTTTAAAATTGGAATATTTGCAAGACTAAAAATACTAAACTATTATGATTTTTAAACAGTTAAATGAAATTAATTTAACAGCAGCCAGAGT